TGGGTGGGTGGGCCTTTAGCTCCGCGTTTCTCTTTCTTTTCTTTTTTTTGGGTGGGGGGCTGTATTTTGACAACTACTAGTCTATCAGCCATTCATGTGTGTTTTTGAGGGTACCCCATTCTTGGCGGTCTTAGAGGAAGCCAAAGAGCCGGGAAAAGGGTTACAATCCTCTTGGAAGAAAGACACCACCTAAGTCGCGATTCCGATTGCGCCTCGTGTTCCATCTCAAAGGCTAGTCTTGTTCCGCGCATGTTGCACGCAAGCCATGTTTCTGACCAAATTCACTCAGGAAGTGAAGGAGTGTAACGACCAAAAGTCTCCATACCACCACGACTTTCTGTTCTGGGACCATCAGGGCACTTTGACATGGAAACACGTTACAAGAAACCTGAGGTCAGGTCAGCTCGACCACACCTTGGTTCCCAGGTGGGAATTGAGGGAATGGCCACTCAACACCATTCCCACAAGACCCCAAAACCGCTTCATTCCCAAGAACCCCCACTTTAAGGCCCCAAGACCCGAAAAGGGCTTTTGACCCCCACAGACCTCTGCATTTTCTCCCCAAACTCCTCGTGCCTTCCCACGAGATTTCGGGATAGTCTCCGATCGCACGAGAGGCCGCTGCGGATCAGCTGCCGCACACTGCCGGCCTCGGATCCTGCGAGCTTCTCCCTGAGGCGCGGCGCGCGCGGGGCCTTTCGGGCGCTCGGCGTTTCTCGCGCGTTGATTGAGCGAACCCTGGAAGAAAGGCGGTGGAACTGGAGTCGCCACGCTTTTTCAACTTGTTGGGTTTCAGAAATTCGATCCCTTGCATGGAGATGGCGACTCTTCCGACAGCGCAACTGGGAGCTTGGCCCTATGGCTCAAGCAAGGCTAGAGATAATCTGAACATATTGTTTTCTGCGAACAAATTTGGGCTAAGAAAAAAGAAGCGCAAATCACGGAGTTTCCCGTCCATGGCAACACCCTAGAGGTAAAAGCCTCCGATACCTAGCCCTGCGCTAGGTGCCGCTATTGGGTGACCTGGGGGAGCTGGACATGGAAAATGGGGCTCTAACTTGGGCAACCTTTCAATACTCAATCATACCAAACCCATTAGCTATGTACATGTACACATATATATATATATGTGTATTATATATATATATATGTATACATATACATATGTGCGTATATGCATATAAAATTATACAGATTTATACGAATTCAAGATGTTCTTTGTGCATCCCTAGAGTCTGGTTGCCGATGGCTTGCCTTGCCAAGCAGTGTGTTGTGGCGGACAGGGCCCCAACCCTAAGACACTGACCCAAAGAGTAGGGGGTCAAGCCGCAAGGAGCATTGCGTCCATGTTGCCATCTACCAGGGCAAGCCATTTTCAGTACCTTTCTTTGACCCACAGCCATATATAGTTTTTGTTGTTAAACCTGGTGGTGCGCGGCGGAAGCCAAGCACCGGCCGCGCGAGGAATCTGGGCCCTACTTGGGCGGAAGTGGCCTGGTCCGGCGGCGCTTCCGCCCGGAACCATAGCCATGGAAGGCTGAATGTACAGGCCCATTTTTTCTGAACCCATGGCCATTTTGGACCGTTTGGGGGCTGATTCTTTATAATTTGTTGGATACTTTGGGCGCTGATGTTCCGCAACTCAGCCAAAGCTAACGGTTAATTGACTCATCATAAACTAGGGGTTCATACCAGGCGTCCATATATGGACGTGCATTCAGCGTGTGAATGTGACGGACACCCCGGTATAACTGGTGTATTTGGGGTGATCGTTTTCTTGTGTCCATGGTACCCCACTTCCCAGTTGGCTGAACCCTCCGGTCCCCAGACGCAACATGGAGCCAGGGGCCCGGGTCCCTTTGAAAGGAAAATGGTCTAGCACCATGCTTGTGGAAGGGAGGGTAAGCTCTTCAGTTGTTTGATTCTCACGTTTAGTGGGCTGCAAACAGAGTTTTTTTTGCACGGCCAAGGATTGGACAGTGTTTGAATCAGCAGTGTGCAGATGGTTTCCCCTAAACTGGATAGAACCCCGGAACTGGGGGAAAACGGTGGTTGGCAGCGATGGTCAACCTTTAGGGTTCAGGATGTGGACCCCCCAGCATGATTTCGGTTGGTTTCCCTTTAAAGCACCAAAAAATCAGACAAAATCAGGGGTACCCTCAACAAAGACACCCCCAACACACCCAATGGTTTTAGACCAAAAAGGCTGAGAACCACGACCATAAGGTTTTTCACAGCTGCCACTGCAAACACTCGTCCGCATAGTTGGTTGGCTTCAATTTGCACAGTGTATGTGTGTGTGTGTGTATTTTTGTTTTTGTGATTGCTTTTTGAGTTTTTTTTTTTGGGGGGGGGGGCGTGTTAAAGGGACACCAACAGGAAACCCAAGATTTGTATTTCAAGTCTGTAGAGTTCCCCAGCATCAGATTATAATTTATACGATATGACATGAAACATGGCACGAACAAATGAGTTTGCAAGGGTGAATTGTAGGGTTCTTGGAGGTCGCTTGATTAGCAGACCTTGGACATCCCCCCCCTTCCATCTTTGTTTTACTTTTTTTGTGTGATGAATTGACTCTTTGAAGCAACTTTTGGTCAAGTTTCCCCTTGGTTTCCCTTACTTCCCTTGCTTTCCCTGCGTCTTTCTTGAGTGCTTGTTTCAAATCGGAAGGAAGCCAAGGGACACCGTCACTTTTTTGTTTGGGGGGGTTGACCCACCAAGCTTTTTGGGCGGGCTCCCTGCTGTCAATCGACGAATCCATTTCGCACCAGTTATGAAACCCAACGGAATGATTCGATTCCCCAACCTAAATACCGTAACAAGCGTTCTGGAAGCAACCATGGTTTGAAATCACGGTGCGAAGCGGATTTCGTTCATCCACAGTAGGACATCCGGAAGCAAACAAAATGATTCAGTGTTTAACTGTCTACAACCGTCACTCTCCGTTTTTGTCTCAGTGAGGGGGTGGAGACCCCGCTCAGTATTTTGGGGGAAGGGGGTTCCAACTACCTCCGCAAGCCCAGCCCTAGAACCCGAATGCATCGAAGCTCCTAGGAGCTGCTGCTGGAGCTGAAAGAGGGCGGCGCCGACGTCGGCCGCCGGGAGTTGGTCCTGGGCCCGGTGCACTGCCTCTGGGGCTTGCGGCCCAACACCCAGCGCCACGATGCAAACACACGACCCGGCCGTTCTTTGGACGTCTCGGGGTGTGTGGCTCTGCTTTTTGTTTTCTTTCAAGGGCACCCCGTGTTTTGGGGGTGTTGGGAGGAAATCACACCCATTCGGCTTCCCTGCTTTGGGTTTCCACTTCTAAGAGTCCCAAAAGGCGATCACGCGTTGTTTCTACGTCCTTTGGGCAAGTCAGTGTTTGGGTATGGCTTGGACTTGTGGGACCGAAGTTGCCATGTCCTAAATGGGTATGAATTTGCATTTACCTACGGGTTGATAAGCCGTACGGTCTTTGGAGGTTGTATAGAAGGGTCCCTGAGATCAACCAGGGGTCCATTGATCAACTGATTTCTTCATCAGTAAGACATTCAAGTCATCAAAGTCAACCGTGATTTCAGTCAAGTTTAGACCCGTCATTCATGTTGGACCCTGGGGTGAAAAACGTTACTGGGTTCTATAGGAACCCCATCACCCCCACCAGGACCCCTTGGAAGGGTCCCTCAAATCAACCAGGGGGTTATTTCTCAACTGCACCGGCAGCCTTCATTGATACATGAAATTTGGCTCGACATAGTTCTGCTCATGACAACCTGTTCTAAAGGAAATGTACGATTCAACAAAAATGACTCGAGTTGTCAGCAATCATGCGGCCGTCGGAACCCATTCCCTGTGCCATGTTTTGGACTTTCGCTCGTTTGCACTTGTTTAAGCCGAATTGCGCTCGCTTTGCACTTTTGTTGCGCTCGTTTCGTTGATGACTCTTCCCCAACTCGCCCCTACCTGGGGCCCCAAAACACTGTTTTTTTGGTCAAAAGGCTTTGCCCGAAAAAAGTGGTCATACGGCCAAATACGTTTTCCTTCACTCTTTTTTTGCATATTTTATCGACAAAATACGGGTTTTATACGGCCAAATACGGGCAAATGACCGAAACAAAAAACAACCTCACGGGAAAAAGCGGGGCAAATATGCCTTTTGACCGAAGAAAAACGTGGCGTTTCGGGGCTCCAGGTATGTAAGAACATGAAACTACCGAACTTGATTTCTGCTCGAAGGCAAACAATAATGCTCGAACGCAATTGTGCAGGAAAACACGCTACACCGTGTCAATTTGTGTATCGACCCAGGGGGGAGGCATTATTTTGGTCTCCCTGGCATGCACCCGGTGCAACAAGCGTGTCTCATTTGCGAATACGTCCCCTGGAAACATACACACATATTTTCAGTAGTGATAGATTCCCTTTAAACACACACAGGGGGAAATAAACATTTCTTAGCTACATGGAAGCTTGAGAATGGGGGGCACCTCAGGAGGTTGGCTTAAGGTGGTTGTTTTAGGGTACGCGCCTAAAATTGTGGGGTTCATTTCGATTTCCCTCCAAAACCACAAACAAGAAGGTACCCTCAAAAACACCCGCGCCGATGTCACAGGAGTTGGACCGCTGGGCAGTCATCATCTTGATTGGGCGTGAGCTTTACGCAACAAATTGGGGGGCATACCTGCTTTGATTTCAACAAACTTCAACCCACAAAGCCACAAGGAAGCCCCAAGGAAACCACGAAGAAGCCCCAAGGAAACCACGAAGAAACCAAAAAGAAACCCAGAATAATTAAACAAAAAAGAAGCCCAAAACAAACCAACAATAAAACAAACATAAGCCCCAAACAACTAAACCACAAGGAAGCCACAAGGAAAGGAAACCAAAACAAAAACCAAAAACCAAACCCAACGAATCTTGGTATCTCGAAGTTCCCCAGCCCTCAACCCAAAAAAACGTCTGGATCCGAGGTACGAGGTGGCCCTTGGCCTGGTGGACGCCGAGCCGAGCCTCCAGCTCCGCGGAAGAAGTGGCGCCCGTTTCTCAAGCTGTGGACGGTTTGGGTGGGTTTGGGGTGGTTTTGCGTGGGTTTTGCGGGGGTTTTGGATGGGTGTTGGATGGTGTTGGATGGTTTTGGGTGGGTGTTGGGTGATTGTTGCTTGGTTGTTGCTCGATGTTTGGTGGGTTTTGGCTGGCTTTGGGTGGCTTTGAGTGAGTCAGGTTGTTGGACTTAGGTTTTCCTGCCACCCAAACCTCCAGCCGGGCATTTCCTTTTGTTCAATCTATTTTTGGGGAGGGGCCCTTTTCAGAATCAACCATGAAAAATCGATGCCCAAGGCCGCGGACTTCGTGCTTGGCAGTGTTTGGATTGCAAGAGGGGTCACAGCATGTTTCTGGGTGAGCTATACCGACCTCTCACGACCGAATTCACCCCAAACGGTGGTTTATGCGGGGAATAGCCCCCCAAGCACCTTATTTCAGGTTGGCGAATTGTTACTCTAGGAATACCTGGAAGCCGTTTGTGTTCAAGAAAAAGGGCGCGTAGCTGAAACCTGGGTTTACAGGTTATGAGCCCAAGGAGGACGCGGTGAAGCCATGGCGTCTCCAGGAGACCTCGGACGGCGAGAACCGGAAGAGGCGGAGGAGAGCCTGGAGCTGGTTGGGCAGGAGCTGGTGCCGGTTGGCGCCAAGGGCAAGGGGAACTCCGGTGGGAAGAGATCCGCGGAGGAGCTCGACACGCCAAGGAGGTCGACTTCGGGAAGAACGGCCCTTCAAGAAGGCTCCCGCGGTCGAGAAGGCAAAGGAGACGGAGAAGAACAATGGGCAGGTGGGCCACGTGGCGACCCTGTGGTTCTGGAACCCTTGTTCAATGAGGCCCAGATGGAGACCCTGACTCGGTGGCGGAGAGAAGCCCCCTTGATTCATGGCACCCGGATGGACCAAGAGAGACCTCGGCATCTACCTGAACCTATGGAGGCGGGTATGGAGCTGGCGGGCGCTACGAGCAGGATGTCGCCGGCGGCAAGAATGCCTGTGGAGAACCAGGAGTACGTGATGCGGCTGGTGAACGAGCTCATGGCGCAGAACCAGTGCCTGATGAGGGAGATTGAGAGCCTGAAGAACGGCAAGGCGGTGGAAGAGAGCTATGGTACCCCGGACAGTCGGGACAAGAGCAAGGTGCTTAGCATCGAGGACAAGAAGAGTGGGGACAACAGCCGGAAGCCCATGGAGGTGATGGGAGGTAACGTGGACGTGAGCTATGGCCAGAATGTGCGCGACCAGGGCATGAACCCGGACATGGCCAACGGCAAGAACAATGGAGGTGAACATGAAGATGATGATGAATCTTCATCAGAGCTGAGGCCGGCATCGGTGGCGGGCAGTGGAAAGAACGGGAAGCAGATGGACGTCATTCTGAAGCTGCTGGAGGGGATGCAGGCCATGCAACAGCAGTTGATGGGTGGTGCCGGGAAAGGAAATCAGGAGACGGTGGAGGTGGTTCGCCCTGGCATCACTGAGCTGCCGAAGCTGAGTGAACCTACGGCGGAGTCAGGCCCCATTGATCTGGGTGACTGGATGATCATCATAGAGCCGCTCCTCGCTGATTTGAGTGATTCGAGCGCTGAGTGGTGGCAGCTCATGGTCACCGAGGCCAAGGAATGGTATGCCCGCTACTTGCAGGAAGTCCCCATCAAGCGGATGAACATGATCCCGGAGACACCTACATCCCTGAAGGTGAAGAAGTGGAGTCGGGTGGAAAGAAGAGCGGTATCGATGCTGATCCAGGCGGTGCCGGAAGGAATCCGTGATGAGCTGATCTCGTCGCAGGCCGTTACGACGTTTGCGGTTCTGTGCAAGCTGATGATCGCTTATCAGCCGGGAGGATTGGCGGAGAAGGCCGTGGTGTTGAGGAATTTGGAGGAGCCAGGGGAAGCTCCATCGGTGGCGGAAGCGGTGAAGGGGCTGAGACGTTGGGTCAGATGGCGGCGACGTGCAGGAGACGTTGGGTTGACCCTGCCGGACTCAAGCATCTTGATGAGAGGCCTGACGAAGCTCACAAAGAAGGTCTTGGAGGCGAACCGGGAGTTGACTTTCCGAGTTTCGTTGGCGAGGAGCACACTGCAGGTGGACTCGGTTCCGACCCATGCGACGGTGCTGCAGTATGCGGAACACTTGCTGGCGGAGCTGGAACAGACGGCCTTTTTGAGCGAGAAGAAGGCTCCGACGAAAACCAGCACGGCAGGAGGAGACACCAAGGTCCGGAAGCTGGAGGAGTCCAAAGAAGGCCGCGATGGAAAGGAAGGAAAAGAAGGCAAAGAAGGGAAGGGCGACGGAAAAGGAGGAGCAAAGGGGAAAACCCCCTGCCGGTTCTACATGTCCGACAGCGGCTGCCGGCGAGGTCGAGGATGTGATTGGTTGCACCCGACGGACGAGACGGCTCGAGGACGCTGCTGGGACTGTGGGTCGACGGAGCACATGCGGAAGGATTGCCCGCGCAAGGTCTCCAAGCCTGGAGGAGGAGAACGGACAACGGCACCGGCAGTGAAGCCATTCAAAGCTGAGGAGGCAAGAGGAGTGGCAGAAACTCAGTCGGTGGTGGACCAGGAGAATGACAAGGACAAGAAGAAGAAGGAGGTGGTGGTAGAGGAGACAGCTGCCAGCTCCGTTACCAAGGTGTTGGAGGAGGCGGGTAAGATGTTGAGGAGCCTCAACAAGACCAGCGGTGTGAAGAATGGGAAAGAAAGGGAAAATCGGCTCGAGATGTTGCAGAAGCAGCTGGACGAGATCCGAGGAGACCCAAGGCTGAATAAGGCCCAGGTGTCGAGTTTGAGCCGAGCCGTTGGTGGATTGCTGGACTCGGGGGCCACTCATCCACTCAGAGGATGCAAACCTTCGGAAGACCTTGAGACCATGGACGAGGTAAGAGTAACCCTTGCCGGAGGTGAAGAGCGGTGGATGAGAATGAGCCCGGGAGGAATCATCATCCATGACGACCCGGATGTGGACCCGATCATTCCCTTGGGGGTGTTGATCAAAGCCCTTGGGTGCAAGGTGGAGTGGTCCGGCGTGGAATGTTCAGTGGAACACCCACGAAAAGGGAAGCTGAAGGTGACTATGAGAGATGAATGCCCCTATGTGGACAGGGCCGTGGCGATGAAGCTTCTCGACGAGCTGGAGGAGCTGAAGACAGAGAAGGATAAAGGTGAAGTGCTGGTACAGGCGCTGATTGAGAAGGAGAGTATCCAGCAGCTGGTGGATTCTCACCCGGTGTTCAAGGGAGTGCCCGACAAGGTGAAGGCCATGTTGGTGGAGGAGCCTGCAGAGGATCTTCGGCATCTACCCTGGAACCGGAGGAGGAGGAGGCTGTTGGAGAAAGGAGGAGATCCCCTCTGGTTGCACCTCTACGCAGGCGCAGAAGAAGGTTATACTCTGTCAAGAGCAGTGAAGGAGCTAGGAGGAGACAACCGGTTCCTGTTGGAGGTGGATATCCAGAGAGGAAAGGAGCACGACATGGTGCGAGGCCCGCTCTACGGCACGCTTTTGAGGCTGGCACAGGATGGGCGTCTGGCGGCAGTGGTTGGAGGACCAAACTGTCGAACGAGGAGTGTGCTGAGGCATTACCCGTTGCCGGAGGCTGGAGGAGGCCCGAGACCGGTGAGGGGGCCCGCGGTGCAGGAGCAGTTCGGGAAGGCAGACCTGACCGAGCACGAAGCTAAGGCGGTGTTCGAGGACGACGTGATGATGTGGAGGATGATGGTCATCTACCTGGCGGCGAAGAAGGCAGCACTACGAAAGGGAGGTGAAGAACCCCATTTCCTCGTGGAGCACCCAGCCAGCCCGGAGAAATATATGCCCTGAGTGTTGGTCGTGGTGGCGAACGCCGCAGTGGAGGGCAATGAAAGAGAAGGAGGGCCTGAGTGAAATCACCTTCTTTCAGAGCGTGTTCGGAGGAAAGGCCGCGAAACCTACGACGATGGGCACGGACCTGGAGTTGGCGATCCCTGAGGAGAGCCAAAGCAGCAAAGAAAGGAGGTCTACCCGTACGACCAGAGCTGCAGCAGATGTGGAGGGCTCGAAGGAGCTTGCGAGATGGGCGCCGGGACTGATGCGGTCCGTCGCGAAGGCGTTGCTGGAAGCAACAGGAATCAAGACAGCAGTGAGAAAGCTGTCGTGGGCCGAGCATTTGGCCAACGGCCATACGCCATACAGGCGAGACTGTCGTGTATGCCAGGAAGCATCCGCACAGGGACGAGCACATCGGCGCATTGCTCATCCCCAGGCACACATCTTGTCTGTGGACTTGGCGGGACCTCTGCGTCGAGGGCACGACATCGACGGCAAGAGCTGTAGGTACTTCCTCATGGGTGCCTACACCCTACCTCGTGGTGGAAAGGAAGAGGTTTGGGACGAGGAGATCGACGGATTGGCTCCGGGGAGTTGGAAGGTCCCTCAACGGGTGCAAGCCATGCGGAGGTGGAAGAGGATTGATGAGAATGCGGTATCTTACCGAACCACCCGAAAAGGAGGACCACCCTGGAGGAGCGTGAAGTGGAGAGTCACCGTGGACAATGACACCGGTGAGGTTCTGGAAAGCGTGGAGGTGACGAACCTAGAAGAGGAAGACCTTCATCGACTCTTGGACAAGACCCGCAACCTGAGGACCATCCTGTTCTACGAAAAGGGGACCAAGGGCCAGGAGGGGGAGATCCAGGAGGAGAAAGGGAGGCTGGCGGACTACTGGACCAAGAGCATCGATGGGCGAATGGTCATCAGGGTGCACAAGTCCCACCGAAAAGGGAAGTTCTTCCCGGAGGAGGCTGAAGAGTGTCCGGTCCCCATAGACCAGCTGGCGGATGTGAGGCGCACGGTCGCGAGAAAGGCCAAAGGAGGTGCGTATGAGACGGTGACCGATGATTGGAGAACTGCAGGAGCTGGCGAGCGACTGTTCGAGGATGATTCAAGATGGGCAGGAAGAACAATCTTCATGATCAAAGGAGCGCCTGACCCACCGCCT